AGAACAAAGTTTGAAGACATAGCAACTTTAGACAAAATCCCAGCTGTTCACTTAATGCACTTGTCTTAATCACTGTTTCCAAACACCAGTAGGCCTACTTACATGCTTCAGAGAACAAAAGGTTTTGTAAATGGTACCTGCTACATCAAAGCCAACAAGAAAGCTCCTTAGAGGTGATTTTCATAATTGATGTTTCATATGGGATTTGTAACCCTTAGCTCAGAGCTGTGATAGCATTCATCTGAGGGGTGATTGCAGAGTATGACATCTGTGGGTTAATAGCTCTTGATGTCGCCATCATTTTCTTTAACCCTTTGGACATTAGCTCTCTCATGTTATTTTTTGGAGATGTTTCACGGTGGTATGAGCAACTAGGTCAGAGAGCAAGAAATAACTTGGAGCACTAGTAAGGACTCTAAGTAGTATCTTCTGGGAGTCCTCATCCTCCCATTCAGTGGGTCTTCTTTGGTTTGGAAGCAGAAGGAAGACAGATGAACTGCTTACAAGGAGCAGAGGATCCTTTCTTCTCACTGGGCCTGAAAGCCCTGCTTCTCCAGGAGAGGAGAGCTAACAGCTCAGGAGTCTCAGAATGGAGCACAGCCAGACTCTTGCCTTTGAGGAGTGAAGGGTTTTGCTCAATGAGTGATGCCTCCCTGCACTTTTGTGGGCTTTTGCTCCCCTCTAATGGCCAAAGAGCTCAGAGCCCCTTTGCTGGAGACCATGGTCTCATGTACTCTGGTGACTGGTGCCAGAGGGTGCCCCTATGCTAGCAGACCTGTGAAGGCATCAAGCCGACTTCAGCTCCGGTTAAGCTCAGGGGTTACCTAGCACTGTGTTTAGGGTGGGGCCAGAGTCTCTCCCAGCTCTTCCTGCTGCTCTGATTACTGGATTTTACCCTCCTTGTTTTCTGTTCCATCTCCCAAGAAATGCACCTGTGTCATGGTGGCTGGGAGGAAGGGTTACAGTTAAACTTGGGAAAGAGAGGCAATGCAGGCAAATCCATACACCTGTACAGATCTCAGAGTCTTCCCCGAGTCGCACCACCTCCTTCCTGTGCCGACAGACTAAAGCTCTCTGCCTTTGACACTTGCACTGCAGCTCTTCCCTCTCGTTGGAACAAGCTAAGCCCACTGCCTGGGTTTTACCCAAACCAGATATAAACAATCTTTTGCAGGCTGGTACTTACAAGGTCTCAATCTACACAAAAATGGGTGTGCTTGGAGCTTTGGCTTTCAAACAGCTGTGCCGTTTGTTGTGTTGTATTACCTGCCGCTGCCCTTTTTTTAAAAAAAAGCTTTTCAGAGCTTCCCTCATTTGAAGTGCCAGAAAAGGTAAATAAGATCTCATTTTGCGTCAGCTTTTGCATCTAAGGATTATCATAGAATCACAGAATAGTTCGGTTTGGAAGGGACGTTTAAAGGTCATCAAATCCAACCCCCCTGCAGTGAGCAGGGACATCTGCAACTAGATCAGGTTGCTCAGAGCCCCATCCAGCCTGACCTTGAATGTTTCCAGGGATGCGACATCCACCATCTCTCTGAACAACCTGTTTCAGTGTTTCATCACTTATGTGGGCATAAGCTCTGCGTTAGCTGAATGTAAGCCTAACAGCCCAGGGTAATTCCTCCAGCATTTTCTGTCGAGCTCTTTGCTGCAATATGTGTTAAACCTAGGTTGCTTTCCAAAGTTAGGGAGTCAACTAGGAGAGAAAGTTTGTTTCCTTGTCTTTACCGTTTCTTCCCACCTCTTAAACCTACTTTAACTGAATGTCAGTATGTGTAACAAAATCATGGTTTATCTGATATGCCGCCTCTGTTGGTGTCAAAAGGGTTGAAAGATATTTCGATCAAAAACACAAGGAGAGTTCTTTGTTTTCATAGTGTGGTCAATGTGGTGGAGAAGCTGCCTCTGGGATGGACCATGTATGATATATTCTCTGCAGTCCAGAGGGATATATGGAATCAGGACATTATCCTAAGCTTTAATGAAAGCTTGCAGTTCTTGTACAAGGAGATCCCTCACTGGCTTTTACTGTGCTCTGATGCGTAAGCCACAGGTAAGAATCACAGGCAGTACAACAAGCTGATTTGGAGGTGGTTATGTGCCATCTTCGCCTGCTCACCCTTGCCCCTGTGCAGAAAACAGGCTGTCCTCTGCACTGGTGGGGCTGGCAGTGTGACTCAGACCATCATGAGTCTATCCAGGCAAAGCTGGCTTTGCGTGTACTGTCCCTTGTTCTGCAGAGACTGTCTGGGCTCTCCTTTTTAAGGCTAGCCTGAACTGGCATATCCTACCTGGAATTAAAATAAATAGAGAAAATAATTTTTGAAAATCCACTACTCTGCCTCCTTGTTTCCTGTGTCCCCACCTGTGTGGAGCAAGTAGGTAACTGGTGACAGTACAGCTAGAAAGTCAGCTAGCCAATGAGAAAGTGAAGACCTTGGTGGCCACACTGCCCCTCTTCCCCATGCTGATAACATTGCAAATAGCAATTTGAGGTTTAAATGAGCATTTAATGTATTTAGGGCTACCTCAAATGTCATGACCGTGCCACTCTGGCTGTAAAACTGCTGTAACCTACAACAGAGTCTTTCTAGGAAGTCTTTGCTTAGCCCAGGGAACAAGATTCCCTGTATCTGCAGGAATTCCTCTTTGAGAGTAGTTGACTGCAGACAGAGATAGAGAGTAAAAGTATTAACAATTCACAATTAATAAATTAGAAAAGTGTATGCTGATAAGCAGGAAAAGTATACATTAAAATATGCTATTAGGGACAGAGAGTGTAATCTTGGAAATACTCCTCCTCAGGTAATATATTAAACAATATTGCTGTTTTGTGTTACATGGGAGAAATGGTAGAATGAAAAATAGCCTTGCACTTTTTCCTCAAGTTTTAAGAAAGTATGGGAAACAGACTTGGAAATCACCAGACCTGAAAAATAAGCTTGAACCTGCGCTAGAGTAACTTCAAGGCATCTACTCACAGTGTACTCCACAGTCAACAAGACAGGATCTGGTGGTTTTTCAGCTCAAAGAGGAGCCTTTTAGAAACGTACAACTGCAATCTCATCACCCACACTTCCTTTAAGAATGATCAAGGTCACTGCTGTTAGAGGGAAATGATCTTGGAGAGAACTGTATGGAGAGGAGGAGCATAAGGGATGCAATGATTTCAGCATAGGCCCTGTGTAGCAGCAAATCTGCTCTGTCCTTTCATGTCACGTACTAGCAAAGGCTTTTCCTCTGAAAATGGTAGTATAACTGCCAAAAAAAAACCCCGATTTTATGTATTTATTTTTTTACTAAGGCAGGTAAAGATTGGAGTGCGGGAAAACTCAGCAAAGCATTGAAACCCCCAAAGGATTTGGGGGTGTTTATAGATGAGAAGCTCAACATGAACCGGCAGTGCGCTCATGCGGCCCAGAAGGCCAACCGCATCCTGGGATGTATCAAGAGAAGTGTGGTCAGCAGGTCAAGAGAGGTGATTCTCCCCCTCTACTCTGCTCTTGTGAGACCCCACCTCAAATACTGCGTCCAGTTCTGGTGTCCCCACCATAAGAGAGACATAGATTTGTTGGAGCGTGTTCAGAGGAGGGCCACAAAGATGATCCAGGGGCTGGAGCACCTCTGCTACGAGGACAGGTTGCGGGAGCTGGGATTGTTCAGCCTTGAAAAGAGAAGACTTCGGGGGGACCTAATAGCTGCCTTCCAATACCTGAAGGGAACCTACAGGAAGGCTGGGGAGGGACTTTTTACAGGAGTGTCCACTGATAGGACAAGGGGAAATGGGTTTAAGTTGAAGGAGAACAGATTTAGATTAGATCTTAGGAAGAAATTCTTCAGTACGAGGGTGGTAAGACTTTGGAATAAATTGCCCAGAGAAGTTGTGGATGCCCGCTCCCTGCAGGTGTTCAAGGCCAGGCTGGACGGAGCCTTGAGTAGCCTCATCTAGTTGAGAGGCGTCCCTGCCCATGACAGGGAGGTTGGATTAGATGATCTCTGAGGTCCCTTCCAGCCTATGCCATTCTATGATTCTATGAAATGTGGTTCTGCCACAGATGCAAGCAGGAGGGTAAGGAAGGAGTGACAGAAAGGAGACTGTGCAATCCTCGAGCTGCAGTCCTCCTGGGAGCTGGGAACACTAAGGTGAGAGCTGTGCAAGGCACAATGGAAGCCCATGCTATGTACAGGGTGTTGTCCCTGTGTAGGGTATGGCAAAACCACTGCTGTTTAGAAATGTATAAGCTGATCTTTCTGAAGAAACTTGCAAGTGCTCTGGAAAATGGCGAGTGCAAGTCAGGGATGATGTAAAAATCACAAGGGGATTTTCATTCCCACATGTCAGGCTCTTTCCTGATGATCTCCCACTGCTGCCTTGTAGAATAGAGCAAATGTCTCAGCTGGACAGATGTTTGCCTTGTGTCTGAAGAGGCAGCAGTTAAGCAGGTGACGTGTGTACAGGTGCAGTAATATCTGCATGAGGCAAAACCCTCCCCAAGTCTGTGAGCTTTGTAGGATGTTCCAGTTGGACACGTGTAAAGATATGATTATTGGGTGAATGACCAAATTGAGTGAAGTGACTGGAGGGTGCAATGAGATACGCTGTGTTTGGGGGATTTTGACTACGCTGTAACTATAGCTGTCATAGCAGTCATGCTGTAGCTGCATAAATTTAAGCCCATTTGGTCTCCAGCAGCAGCGGCCAGATGCTTCAGCCTACGGTGCTGAATGAAGATGCAACTGTTAACCACAGCTGGGGTAAGGGCATTTCTGCCTGCTGTTGATGACAGTATTGGAAACATCCTGCCCATCTACTGAGGGGTGAGCTGGGCTGGATGGGGCTGGTACCCAGTGGGTGGCAGGACCGCCCCCAGCCTGACGTGGTGACTGCAGCTTCCTCTCACAGTGTGACGCCAGGGAGGAGCACAGCCCCGGGACTCTATCTGCAGGTGCGGGGTGGATGAGCAGCTCGTGTCGGCTCTCTCCTGAGGATGCTTGACATGGAAATGAGCTTGGACCCGTCGGAGCTGCAGCCGCTGGGGGAGTATGACTTCGAGAAGAACTTCAATTACGAAGAAGCTAGAGAATGGATGCAGGAAAATTGGTGAGAGAAGCTTGCTTCCAGGGACCCCCAGGACCTGGGTAGCCCCATTGAGTCCTGCTGTTTCTAGCAGAGCATGCATGGGGTCCTCAGTCCCGAGGAGGAGGTTGGGGGACTCCAGTTGCAGTGATGGTGCAGGTGCTGGCTGCACGCCTGCAGCTGTCAGGGAAGGACTGCGGCAGCGCATTGGGCAGAGAAAACGGTGGTTGAGGTCATGCTGCAGCACATAGGGAGGTTGTGGTGTGACAAGAGGGCAAGGGGCAGCCACAGACAGCCACCACAGTCCTTGTACTGGGAAACAGGGTGCTCAGCTCTGCTGTGCTGCCCTAAAGCCTTGGAAAGGAGTGCGACATAACACATGGCCCTTGAGCATCTAGCTTTCTGGTGCAACTGGCCTCTTTAGGCAAAAAGCATCCTCTGCCTGCAGGGTCTCATGTATAAGCAGACAAAATGCGTTGATGTGTTTGCTCTGGATCCTACTTGCAGGTTACTAGATCCTGCCTCGTCCCATCAAGGTCCTGTGGAAATCTCCACAATGTAACAGCTTGCTTTCTTTCCTGCAATGCCCAGGGTTTTCCTTGCCAGCTCTGCTCACTGTCAGGGCAGGCTTCTTGTGACCAAACTCAACCTTAATATGAGAACAGGAGATCTTTTGTTTCTTGGTGAGAGCACTCTGCTGAGGCTACAGAAGTCCAGCTGGAAACAGGTCATTCTGGATCTTTTCCTGACTGCTCACTCTCCTCTACTTGTAGGCATAAGTCCTTATTTGTTGCTGTAGCGTATGTGATCCTGATCTTTGGAATCCAGCATTTCATGAAGGAACGGAGAGGCTATGAACTGCGCTTCCCACTGGCCCTGTGGTCCTTTGGTCTGGCCTTGTTCAGGTAAGAAACTTTGCTAAAGCCAAAGACAGCTGTAGACCTTCCCTCAGGACTGGATTGATGGGAAGTTCTGGGTATCCACTAAGTCATTAGGGAAATAAATTTTTTTTGTTTTTTTTTTCCCCTTGGAGGCCATGTTACATAAAGGAAAGTGAGATATTCATACAGGTCATTGGTTTCCTGCCAGAAATACTCCAGTAAGTCAAATGACTGTGCTTGAAAATCGTTAGTGGGTAGATTTGAATGTGAAGTCTGCAAGAGGAGAGAACCTTGTTCAAAGGGTGCCTGATAAGTACAAGTTTCATTTGAGGTCTATTACTCTTAAAAATGGAGATTAGGTTTTTTTCCCCACCTTTTTCTAATCCTGTTGTGTAGGAGGCAGGGAAAATTCTGATACGCTCGCAGAAGCACCTTTCTTACTGTAAATCTAAAGAAGAGAATGAAAGACGCTGGGAGATCCTCTCTGGCTGGTAGCATGAACTGGTTGAATGTATCAAAGTCACTGACAATCGCCAGTCCCTTGGGTTGTCTTTCCAGTATGCTTTGACACAGGCGAAAGTAGAAAAAAGTATGAGTAGTTGCAATGGCAGGAGAATGATGGTACAAAGATAGGGTTATTTGCTGCCCGTTTTTTAGAGACACTTTTTAAGAACAGCCTGATACTACTGCCAAGTTCTCACTTTGATTTTTTTTTTTTTTTTTCCCCAGCCATGAAAGATGTGAAGATCAGTTTAAAATAACTGTTTTCAAACTGTCTTGTCTTATGGTACTGGTTTCCTGCAGTGACCATGAGAATGATTCAACCCATGCTCTGTAATTAAACAAGCAGATGTCAATTTTCCAACATTCCACTCATCTCCACACCTTTTTAGTCTGTTTGGTGGGAGAGAGCAAAACTAGACTACTGCCTCTGTAACTCCAGAGGAGTGTCTCTGCCTACATGCACAAGCTGGCTTTGGTCAAGTCTAAGGGACGCTGGTTGCCCTCTGTGAGGGTAGGACATGGCAGTGGTCTGTAAAATCAAAAGTTGGGGTGCAGAGGGGGTCAGGGGATGACTATTCACGGTCTGTTTGGAGACGAGATCATGCAAATGAAACGTATAGTTTGATAACAAAGGAAAAGAGATGTTTCTTCTCATCAGCTGTAGGAACTGCCTGCTGCAGCAGACTGTAAGCGTTCCCTGGGCATGCACTGTTGGGTCCTGTCAGGAGATGGGACAGCAGGACAATTGTCCCCCCTTTCTGACCAGATATGGCAGCTCTTACTCTTGAGTGCCTCTTCGAGCAGCAGAAGCAAAGGGTGTAACAAGGGACCATTCTTTGCTGCTCAGACCTTGGCTGCTGCCATCCTCCAGGAGCTGCCCCATGGCACCAGGGAAGCCAAAGGGCCGTGTTGGTGGCTCATAACCTACTTATTCCTTGTGCCTTGCTGCTGTTCTGGTGTCAGCAGCAGCCCTTCCCTGCTCTTGCAGAAATATGTGTTTCAACTCCTGGCCAAGAGGTTTTGGGCAAGCCTATGCCCAGCAAATGCAGGGCTGAAACCTGCTTGGAAGTCTAAAAAGATAACAGTTTCTTTAGATGTCCTCGAGACTGCTCTGGGCACTGAGATGGAGTTAGCTCAATATTCTTGGGTGCAGAGCTGTTGGAGGCTCTGGTGGGACCCTGGGCACAGCGTTCAGCTCTCCTCTGGTTTTCTTGCAGTGCCATGGGGGCCCATCGGATCTGGAAGCAAATGTCCTTCATCCTCTCTACCAAGGGATTTAAGCAATCAGTGTGTAGTCCATCCTTCTATGTCCACCCCGTCTCCAAGCTTTGGGTCTATTTATTTTCACTGAGCAAATTCCTGGAACTGGGTGAGTCTTAAGCTCCTTCTTATCCCACATGTTCATAACTCCTTTGTTTTTACAAGCAGGTTTTTTTTATAGGTGTCTGTCCAAGTGTTATTTGGAGAACAGGGCTCTCTAGCCTTGCACATGTCACTCACTTTCTCACTCCCTGTTGCTCAACCCAGACGACATGCTTGCTCTCCACAGGGTTGCAGCCTGATGTTATTGTTCTGGTTTGATCCCCAGGCCAGCGCCTGAACTAGGCAATTCTGCACTGGCATGACTGCAGCGAGGTGGCAGCAGGCAGGCAGGGGAGGTGTGGGCTTTTCAATCAGTTTCCATCCAAAAACCTACAGAAAAGCTGGTCTGAAATGCTGTGTAGGTAGAGCTAAGGGGCTCTTGTGTCACAAACGTGCCAGCAGTTAGGTGCCTATGTGGACTTTATCGATACAGACGATTTTAATGGGAACATAGGTTCTGATGGGATCAAGCCACATAATGGCTTCATCATTGCAGCTCGCTCATTCTGCCTCATATGGAAACTTGTGCAACTGCTGTGGTTTTTTTACCTGACTAACTCTCTCCTAACTCAAGGTGACACTGTGTTCATTGTTCTCCGGAAAAAGAAGCTCATCTTCCTCCACTGGTACCACCACGCTATCACGCTGATCCTCATCTGGTATGCCTATAAGGATATGGTAGCTGGCAGTGGCTGGCTTACAATCTTGAACTACAGTATCCATGCTGTCATGTACTTCTACTACGCCATGCGAGCCGCAGGCTTCCAGGTATCCCGCTACATCGCCATGGCAATCACCATTTCACAAATGCTGCAGATCGTGTTTTATCTAATAATTAACATTTTGGTGATCTTCTGGCGGGAGGATAAGGTCTGCCATGCTACCTGGGAAATTATTTTGTTTTCATTCATGGGTTATACCAGTATCCTGGTGCTCTTCGGCAACTACTTCTTCAAGACTTATGTCAGGAGAGCCCAGAAATCAAAGGGGGAATAAAACTAGGGAGGGAAGAAGAGACTGGGGTGGAGGGGGGAAGAGGGAAAAGGGAAACTTTTCACTCCTGTCTGGAGCTCAGGTGCCTGGTGGGATGGGTGTGATGGGGATTAAGAGGAGATCACTCTGGATAACAGCCTTTAGATTGACTTGTGCATTGGCCTTTGGTGTGTCTGTCTTGCAGTGGGTGGCATGCCAGAATGAGGTGCGGGTTGTCGCAGGCTGATAGCAGGAGGGGAGGGGAGGTGGCTGGAGACCTCGGAGCCATGGTTCTGCTTTTCCTCTTTGCTTCTCTTGGGTTTGCCTTGTGCCTCATCTCCTTCCCAGGGACTGCTAGGATCCCGCACGCGCCAAGTCTCTCCTTGGAAAAAAGTAGGTACACTCCTCTCAAACAGCACTCCCTACTCCATGGTCCCCAATTCTGAGGGAGAGCAGAAAAGCAGAGCCCAAACCTGCTGCCACTCTGTGTGTGGGGTAGCCCCAGTAGGTTGCCAGTGGGAACAGTATGGAACTAGAAAATCCCTGTTGTTTTTTAAGGTTTGTAGGGAGGGGAAAGAGGAACATCTTTTTCATCCTGGAACCAAACTTCTCCTTTTAGCTTGGAGCAGCACTGACTCCTACTTTGTACCAATCTGTGGGGACAGGGTCTGCTTAAAGAGCATTTTGTGGCCAGATGCTGTGCAGACATTTAGAGCTGTGCAGCACCCATGGCTCGCCATGCCCAGGGCAGGCAAAGACTGAGCTGGCTGCACGTCCCTTTTCCAGCCAGGCCAGAGGGAGATCACCTTCCCCCTTGCGTCATCTTCCAACCCCAAAAGTTACCTGCATCCTCAAACAGAGAAGCAGAGCGTGTGAGCCTCAAGCTTGTTGGCTAGCAGGTGAAACCCTGTTGGGATGCTTTCCTTCCCCAGTTTATACCAGTATGGGCTTTACCAGTGTAGCAATGATGTTGACGCTCAGTCCCCGCCCCTCCCTCAGCCGCCTTTCCCTGGGGCTGCAGTAAGTGCTGTCCCCACTGGTGTCTGCCTGGGCTGAGCTGGTAGCAGGAGGCTGACAAGACCCCTCAGGCGAGGCAAGGTTGTGACCCATGGCCCCAGGATGGGCTCAGTGGAGTCCTTCCCAAGTGCCGCACACTCTGGAGCTCCTCAGAAGGGCCCTGGGTGAGAAGATGAGCAGTGGTGCCTCCAGCAGACAAATCCCAGCCGCTGCTCATAGGAGCACAAAATGTACAGCTGGAAAAGCAACACCAAGACTGTGAACTGAGCCTGAGCAATGACCTGACTAATGCCTTACCAGATCTGCTGTAATGATGAACTGGCAGACATAGGTTACCTCCGTAACAGTGACCCAGCTGAAAAGAGCTTCCGGATGATGGGGTTAGCAGTGAGACATGAGGGGCTCTGCCTGGGTGCTCTCTTCTCCACTGCAGTGCAAGGAACTGAGTCCTGTGAACTTTAATGGCTGTTATCCTGAGTGTGTCCCTTGTACGATATTAAACAATCTATTTAACCTGAACAGTTACTGCCTCAGACATTAGGAGCTGAGCAGGACAGAAGGTTCCCAGAGCCAGCTCCTCTCAGGGTGCATCTGCCACTGCGTGATGTGTAAAAATGACTAATAAATGCTGTCATGTATGGGTTGATTTATTTGATGCCTTTTTCATACCTGGCCTTTGCTCTGAACTGTGAGAGAAGTATTGCTTTCTCCATCTCAATCCTCTGTCTTCCTGAGAGTTAGCAAGTGTAAGGTGTCCAGGAGACTCTCCCTCTGTGCTTCCCTCTTCTGCAGAAAACAACAGCTGGTCCTGCTGTCCAAGCCCCTTTGCTCACTACCAGGAACTGGAAATGAGAAGGAGATGGCAAAAAAATCAGGCTTTTGTTTTACCCTCTGAACTGAGCATATGGCTGCTCGAAAGCACTGAGCTTGATAAAGCCAAGACAAGCTTCGAAGCCTGAGCCTGGCCAGGAGCTCCGCAGTGTCCAAGCCTCTGGGTGGATGCTGTCTCCTATCTGGTGAATGGGATTTGGCTCTGCAAAGCTACCGCAGGGCTGTGGCTGCACTTCCCACCCCGGAGAGATGGCAGCAGCCTGTGTCCTGCCCCGTCTTCCCCAATGAGCAGCGCCCCAGCTTGGGACTTCCCAGCATGGAGGGTAGGAGCAGAGCAGCACCTTCCCCAGCTTTGGGAAATGCAGAAGCAGGCAGTGTTTGGGGAAGAGGAATAAACTGACCTCTTTGTTTGGGAGCTCTCTTTAGAGAGGAGGGGATGGTGAACGCATGGGAGTAACAGAGTGACCTCGCTCCGCTATTTGAGGCACTTTCTGTGACAGTGTGATCCTGGTGAGGCAGCCGCCAGCACTCTCCTCACATGTGCCTTTGGCTGCCCCAGCAGTGCTCCCTCAGCTGAGCCAGGCATCTCCGCAAGCACAAGAGCATTGAAGAAGCAGTGTGTTTCCACAGTTGCTCTTTTCTGCCTAAACTGCCTGATGTGCTCTTGGTGCTTCAGAGGTGATGTTCTGTGGGATGAGGTCAGCTGGCCAACCACTCGCGCTCTGCCAGCACTGCTTCTTGCACTGGAGGCAGGGCTCTGCACCTCCAGAAGGCTTCACCCCTGGAAGAACTCTTTGCTGCCAGCCCATCCACCCAGGCTTCTTGGGTAAGAAGTATCTATTATGGGGCAGGAGTCACCCTAGCAGACACAGGTTTGCTGAAGAGTGTCTTGTAGGGACCTGCTATCCCCCTCCAAGAGGCACTGCAGCTTTTCACGCAGCCACATCCCTCCTCCCAGAATGAGGCTTCTCCCAACGCTGCCAGGAGGGCTCGCGTTACCCCGCCTGCTCTACACCCACCCCAGGGAATGCATGTTGCAGGCCCAGGATCAGCCCCTTCGCCCTGCCATTCTCTCTGGCTAGGCAAAAAATAACAATAAATTGCTCAGGCCTAGGCAGGGCAAGACTTTTCTCCTGTGTTTTGTGTTGCTGCTACTGCTGCTGTTTGGCAAGTTGTCTGGAGTGCTCAGCTGCAGGTGTGAGGGAAGTAGTGGTGCTTGCTGGGGCTTAGGGAGCTAATAATGATGTCCTCCTTCCCCAGGTCAGTGCTATTTCCCTGAAGATTTGTGGAAATGACTTCCTGGCACTCTGTAAAGAAGAGAAAAGTCCTTCTTAATGTTGCTGATGAGCCGAAATAGCCAACAGACCCGTTTCGGAGGGGACATATCTTGAGTTTTTGTCTATTTTGTTTCTTTTTTACTTTGAGGGAACAGACAGCAGTTAGTTGCCTCTTTTGTGCGAGAGTCGTGGCTCAGGGGGAGCCATGATCCCTGCTGAAGGCACCTTTGGGGACCCCAGTGCTGCTGGAGCAGCTTGGCTTAGGAGCGGCGGGAGGGAGGTGGGGAGGATGCAGAGTGCAGGGGAGCAGGCCTGCAGCTCTGGCAGAGGCCGGGCAGGGGACGTGTTGCAGAGAGAAAGTCTTGAGGGGCAGGAG